TGTGTTACAACACAAATAACTTCTAAGGACTCTAAAAACAAAACATACAATCAATCAATACACTCCAAACACTTAAGAATCCAGAATTAATAGTTAATATAGAATTACTTAGGAAGACCAAAAAAAAATAATTAAACATATAGAAGTACCATTATTAGATATAGATTTTATGCAATCATGATTAACTAGAATGGATCTCAAACTAGAATGAACACGAGATCATACACTCAATGAAAATAATCAGAATTCAGACCCATCCAACTCAGTATCAAAACACAATTTTTTTGTTTTTTTCTTGGGGTTATATATTTCATTCTTACACGCACAAAATAGATCATTTACAGGCAATGCAGCTTCAAGTTGAACAACACTGTGAAGTGTAAACAATGAACCCCTACTTAAAAAAAAAAAAACAATCCATCCATTAAAAATCCTAAGCACCCTATGAAATATCCTTAAATAGCAGCTAAATGAATAACAACTGAAAAGCTTAGAGAGGAAGAAACAACAGTTATAAACCTTAGGGAGATAGTGCCAGGTATAAAAATCAATGAGAACTGTAAACCATCAATCATGTCCAACATAATGCAACTGGTTAGTTAGGGACAAATAACAATGAGAAAAGTACTTCCCCGTGATGGAACTGTTCACACACTTGACATCCATACGAATGAACACCAACCATCTATAAGCAAGAACAATAAGAGCCAGATGATAATAAAGTAAAACTTAGTCTAGTAGCAGCAGCAAATCTCAATGACAGCAAAAATAGCACTGTAAATAGACCTCTAACGAATAAGAACAGAAAACCTTAAAGATTGTGTAGATACTCTTCGTTAGCTAGCTTAATTTCATATTCATATTTGATTGTTCAATCATGACATGTATTGTATATACTTAAAGCTTATATGTGCATGTTTGACATCCAAATGTTCTAAAAGCTCAAGAATTTAGACTTATCGATCACCTTCGAGGATGTGTTCCAAGTTCGCTCTAGACACAAGTAAACAACCATTTCTATGAAAAATTAAAAAGATTTCATAACTTACATATGCTTTGCGAGCATCATCATTAACCCATCCAATTCCTTCCTTGAAATGTGCATTCTTGTACATTTTGATGGCAGGTCCTAGGAGATGATCCTCATTCTCCTTTTTCGTTTATAGCTTTGCCACGCCTTGGAACTTCTCTTGAAGAACCTGAAAGATAAAAGTCTTGGTAAATGTGAATATAAAAAAATATCACCTTCCACTGCTGGACCAACTTTTAGTAATTATGTAAGGATCTTAGTAAATGTAAATATAAAAAAATTTCACCTTCCACTGCTGGCTGTGGCTGGGTAGATGTAGGAGCATTTTGGGCGAGTCCATTGTGAGATCTTATGGAGCGACGAGGTCCATTGGACGCCATAGTAAATTGCAGCAAAAGGCGAATAAAATCTTTTATAACAAACTGATAAATTAGAGACTAACAATTAAGTAGGAGGGTGAAGGATTAAAATAACCAAACAAGAAAGAAATAAAAAGGCAAAAAGACATAAACAACACATATTCTAAAAATGTTCAAGTACTGAGTACTGAAGGTTGTATTTTGTCTTTTTTTTTTTCTTTTTACTTTCTTTTTCTTTCTATCACATGGTTGTATTTTGTTGAAACTTAAAAAAACTAAAGAGATTTCCAAGAGTCATACATTGGACTGGACTAACAGAGATGGGTTACTACTAAATTCTATTTAAACTCTCTCTTAGAAACCATATATGTATTGTCATCCAAAAAAGTAAAAAGAAAACTACAACAAAAAAAAAAGAGGCAAAGTTACCTCGACATTCAGTGTTCTCTGTTTTTTATTTTATTTTTTATTTACTGTATCTCCAACTCAAGAGGCATATATGGTAGCTAGAGCTCAAACTTATTAGAACCACATCCCTAACACTGTAAACAAATAATAATTAATTGACATAGAACTAAGGTTTAAGTTCGCTGAATTCCTTCTGATAATTACTATAAATTAACATAGAACTAGAGCAGGATCCTCTCCTCCATCATATTCTTTACATCAAGGTATTCTTGGTCGATCTGATGGAAGTACTTGAACGGAGAGGAAGAGCTTAAAAATTGCAGTGGTCAACAAAACTGCAAGCAATATTGACAGACACTGTGAATGACTAGGACACCTCTACTAGGTTTAAATTCAGATCAACAACAGTTGGATGAACTCGATTCTTATGAAGAAGACTCCTCATTAGGTCGATTCTTCGATCAAATTTACAGCATCTTAATATAGTTCTAGATGTAGAAGCTTTTAACTACTTCTGGTATTAGCTATATGCTGATAACTTCTATCTGTTTATTGTTTTAAAAGATTGATATCTTGTGTATCTAAGAACTACCAAATGGAGCTATAACTTGCAATACGAAAGACATGCCTGCAAAAAAAAAATTTGCTATAGATATGAAAGAAAAGCTTGTGCTCTAAATCTGTTATTTAGAACTTTCAGTCGGTCTGAAACAAACAGAACTTGGCAGCATTAATTTGTAAACTTCCTGATTATTTAAAATTCAAAAGCTTTTCAGTATGCAGAAATCTTATACAATAATCAGACAAAAAAATTACAGCAACACACAGAAGGAAAATCTAATGTGATAGGCCCAAAGCCGAGAATCCCAAACCCCAACCCAACCCGAGACAAGGAAAGAAAGGATTATCTGTAACTCAAAACAAAATAAAAAATTGCTATTGATTTGAACCGTGAAAAGAGGCTTTCTGGGAAGCAATTCCGTAATGAATAGGATCGATTAGGAACTTTGTACAAAATAAAGATATTGTACAAAGTAACTAGGGATTTGTAACACAAAATAAAAAATATTACGGAAAAGGAAAAAACAACTAAAGATTTGTGTGAACATGTTAAAATACAAAACAAAAATAGTGAGGAAATAGAATCGAAATCTCTTACCTGCCAAGAAAAATCAAAATATGTTGTTGATATTCAGGAACATGTGATAGATCAATAGGCTTTTGCTGCTCTTGACAAATTAGGGCACAAATTAATTGAGAGAGAAAGAGAATAAATAATTAGGAATAATCGAAGACGGTATGGAATAAGAGAGAGAAATGGTATGGTTGCAGAGAGAAGGGGTTGCTGAGAGTCGGCATCTATGGATTACATAGAGAACGCGATATGGCCATGGGGTTAGAGAGAGTTTTTGCGTTGAGGCTGCCGGGTTTAGAGAGTGTGTGCTGAAGAGTGAAGAAAGTGGGTTTTGTTAAAAACCCAAACGACGCAGTTTTTCTTTTTTTCAATTGTTATTTTATTTTTTTATTTGGTATTTATAAATGAAGAGAGACATGAATGATTGACACGTGTAATATTAATTAGGCACGGAAAAGCCTTTGTCCCTGCACATCTATTTTCCGTCCCAAAATCCAATTCCACCAAATTTATTTTCCCCCTAAAATTGTTGGCGCGTTTTTTTTGTTTCCTTGAAATAGGAGAAGTTGTTGGCGCGCATTTTTTGGGTTACTTGGGACGACAAGTCTATTCCGTCCTTAAAACCTTCCTTTTTGAGACGGAATTTAATCCGTCCCAAATTACCTGTCCCAAATGAACTTATTTCTTGTAGTGACGATCTTGAAGGCTTGACGAAGTTGATCCTATAGAAGGTTCAACATGTTGAGAAAAACATGTTTCTCCTCGATGATGATAAAGAAGGGAAAATGTATTTTCTTAGTGAAAAGATGATGTTCTCTAGCGACAAGAGAATGAAAATCATCATGACTTTATACCTCAAAGCATATGATTTGTGGAATGTTGTTGGAGAAGAGCCAAAGAATGGCATGTCCAACAAGTTTCGTGAAAAGAAAGAAGATAAGGCATTGGTAGTGTTGCAAAAGGCAATACATCAAGAGATTTGGGAGTATTTTGGAGAGTCCAAAGCTCCAACTTGTATTTGGAAGATGCTCGAGACCATCGTTTCCAATCATAAAGGTGAATCACTACCCATGGAGTATTGGGTACAATGTTTTGAGGATGATGAGTTTACGAAGACTGATTATGAAAGTTTAGAAGACAAATTTGTGGAGAATGAAGAGGCGTACAACACAAATGAAGTTGAAGAAATTGAAGATTCAAAAGTTGAAGGCCAAAGTGAAATGATGAATAAGGAAGAGAAAGGTATTGAAGAAGAGATTGAAAAAGTGGAGGAGATTGAAGTAGAAAGAGAAATCAAAGAAGAAGAAGGTGTTAAAGAAGAGGTAAAAGTTGATGAAATTGGTGAGTTAAAAATTTCAGGTATGGTTACAAATTTCACCTTGAAAGAAGTTATATTTGACTTATTTGATGAAATTATTATTTCTTTATATTCATCAAATAATATTTATTTTGTGGAGAATGATGAATTTCTCTTGAAGAAAATGCTCCAATTAATTATGACATTGAAGCTAAAGGCGAGAAGAATTTTTCGAATTGTTTTTTACAAGATGGTTGGGAGAATTTTGTAATTGACACAGGCTGGGTGAATATGGAGTTATTTTTTGATTCCAAAGAAGAAGCACATAAGAAGTTCAAGAAGTTTCAAGAATTCAAGAAGAGAGAAAATGGATGGTGCGCCCATGTGAAGAAGATAAATGTTGATCATAAGAGGACATTATTCAAACAGTTGAAGAAGTTTCACAAGCCCTACACATCAATAGAAATGGCCAAGAAGATTGAAGCTATTGAAGGAGGTGGAATTGAAGATCAACCATCGAACTTTTGATCAAGCCCCCAAGATTAATAAGAAGGTTTTTTGAAGTTACAAAATCAAGTTTAAAGGGGGGTGTTGAAAAATAAACTTGATTTTAGTATTTAATTAATCATTTTTAAGTATTTATCTTACATAGTGTATGTGGGCATTTAGTATGTTAGTGTGTAGTAAATTATCTTAATAAGAATTAGTATATGAGAGTTAGTGTGATGGTAAAGGTTATGCAAAACCAAAGGTCATGAAAGTTAAGTCTAAATGGTTATGGATGGTTGTGGGCACTCTTTTGACTTTTCAAATAGTCACGCTGGTAATGTTTGTTTGATGTAGCTGGGCACTGTGATACCCCTCGGATCCGAGACACGGGTTGATCAGGCCCAGGCCCAAACCCGAGGGAATATCAAACAATTAATATTTTATAATGAACACGGAATACAAGATAAATTATGTAATGAAATTAAAGCTGGAAGGAACTAAAAATAGAATCCGCAAAATATAATAATTATTAAAATCCATCAAACCCAAACTCCAAAACTCCATCAGTTTACAACTTGGGAATCCATCTCTAGTGGACCCCTATTAAACATCCAAACGGAAGATAGAATAACTGTAATAAACGTCAAGAAATAAAACTATAGAGAGAGCCCTACATCGTCGGATAGTGAATAGAGACCTCTGCTCAGCACGAACACGTCTAAGCCTGGAACTGTCGTGTACCTGAAAAATAGAAGTGGGTCAGGCCCACGCGCAAGTTCTATACTACTACAATCCAAACAGAGGCCCGATACGCATGTACATCCTAAACAATTCAACAATAGCTGATAGTCCGTAAATATATATATAGTCACACTAAAGGACTCTCACTGGACTACAGACCGGTCTCAACCTGAATAGAGGTAACATGCTAAAACGCACACGAAGTGGGCATATGTACCTATACCTAAACAGGGTACACCTCCAACCATCGTAGCCAGCTACACATCCCGATGCATATACGCTCCCTAGCCATCGGTCCTGAGGCTCAAGCTCATACCGAGGCACCATAACAGTACATATATAAAATCCATCCAAAATCCCTGGTATTGCCGCTCAACAAGTAGTTGCCATGACAATACAAATCCACGGGACTTAACTTTTAGTTAATCCCATCCTTATTCCAAGTAGGTGGGTAATGGTATTGTTTTAAAAACCAAACCCATCCTTAGTATGCCACCGTCCCATACCGGTGCCTACTTTCCAATCCTCCAGTAGTCAATAATACCAATAAATCAAGTATATATCAACTAAATTCCAACATCCAACATTCAATGTTAGCAGTGATAAAATAAGCATTGATAAACAGGGTCACAACAACAACATATACATACCCAATTTAAGTTGTTCCCTTTAGTCTGATATAAAGACAGAATTAACTAAAACTTCCATTTAACACCTTACAAATGACATACGGATATGTAGGGTATGTATCACAAAATCCTAACCTCCACAGTTGATACTAACTGTGATAATGTAAGCATCAAAACAATATTCACAGTATGTATGTAGACATGCTCAAATTATAGTGTTCCACAAAACCGATCTAGTGTTAAACTCAAATCCTCCTAGTATTTAAGTTTCAACAGTTGCTATTATAGAAGTTAAGATAGCTATCATCTAGACCAATCCTTCCAATAATTTATACTAGCAGTGGTAAGGAAAAACGTGAACCACAGAACCACAATGCATCCACAAACATGCTTAGTCAAGGTTGAACAAGCATACAACACTACTGTAACTACCAGTTTCATAGCAAAACAGATATCATTTTAGTTTGGTTTAATCTTCATTAATCCTGGAATCATTTAAGAGTGCAAAGAGTATGAAGCCTAAGGGAAAGAGTAAGGATAGAATCTTGCCTCAGAAACTTTTGTTTAAAGTTTCAACGTCGTCTTCTTAAAAAATCCCGGCGAGTTCGAAAACTCGGTTACTGTTCAGGGGTATGAAACACTATTCCTGAACTCAAAATCTGATCTCCACCGTTCAGATTGTGCGACACTGAGTCATGAACCTATCTTCCAAATTTCAGCTCGATCGGACCACGGATAGTGGGATCGGATGTTTGATGAAATTTGGGCAGAATGGAAAAAAAACCTGTGCGACCCAGTTACTGTTCACGAGTACGAATCACTGTTCCCGAGGTCAAACTCTGATCTCTACCGTTCAGATTGTGCGTCACTGAGTTGTGAACCTCTCCTTTAAAATTCAGCTCGATCGGATCACAGACGAAGCGGGATCGGAGCTTTGATCAAACCTTGGCAGAATGTGAAAAACTGCGTTTTTCCTTCTCCACTTCCACAAAACGTGTGCTTTGTTTAAAAAAACCCTACACAGACGTCTACCTTATACTTATAGAGTTTTCCTAAACCCTAGGTTCATTTAAGTCCAATACACAATCCTAACCGGCCCATCCAATTAACGTAGAAACTTACGACGGCTATAATATAAAACCCTAATTTATACTGTAATTAAAACCCTAGTTAGATGTATTTACCTAATTACCCTATTCACTATTAAATACTTAATAAATAATCTAATTGAACAAAATAATAATTAGTAAACCCAATTAAACCAAATAAGACACACATAAAATAAGACACACATAGAATAATTAAACCAATTACACTTAAACCATTAATGCCAATTAAATAATTAAAACACTAATAAGTAATTCCAATCAAATAACTAAATCAATTACACTTAAACCATTAATGCCAATTAAATAATTAAAACACTAACAAGTAATTCCAATCAAATAACTAAAAATAAATATCATTTAAATAAATTAAATCACCACAAAAGAAAACAATTAAGCACCTAATAAAAAAAATAATGACACATAATCAAATAAAATGCACTTAAATAATAAATTAAATACCATTAAATATCAGGAATATCCTTTTTAAATTAGGGGTATTACATTCTTCCCCCCTAACAAAAGGAATTCCGTCCTCGGAATTCACTCTTACCTTTTTCCAAGATTTCAGGAAACCGTGAGCGAATGACATCCTCTTGTTCCCAAGTGGACTCAGACTCATTGTGATGACTCCACTGAATATGAACCAAAGGAATAACCTTATTACGAAGAATCTGATCTCGTCGGTCGATAATACAACACGGTGGCTCTAAATAAGTTGCATCCGGCTGCAACGCAATCTCCCCAACATCGATATGCTGATACCGATCCTCATCTCGAAGAAATTTTCGCAACATGGAAACATGAAACACGTTGTGGACGCGATCCAAAGTATCTGGAAGTGCCAACCGATAAGCAACAGCTCCAATGCGATCCGTAATCATGAATGGACCAACAAATCGCGGTGACAACTTCCCTTTCTTCCCAAAGCGCATAACACCCTTCATAGGAGACACTTTGAGTAGAACCTGATCCCCAACCTAAAACTCCAAAGCCCGAGTATGACGATCAGCATAGCTCTTCTGCTTACTTTGGGCAGTACGCATGCGATCTCGAATAAGAGCAATCTTTTCAGAGGTATCCTTGATGAACTCAGGACCTAAGAATCGATTCTCTCCAACCTCCATCCAACAAACAGGTGACCGACACGGTCGACCGTACAATGCCTCAAATGGTGCCATACCAAGAGTCTTCTGGAAACTATTGTTATAAGCAAACTCCACAAGTGGCAAATATTCCTCCCAGTGGCCCTTGAAATCCAGAACACACGACCGAAGCATATCTTCCATAATCTGATTCACCCTCTCAGTCTGTCCGTAGTCTGAGGATGATAAGCAGTACTAAGGTGTAACTCCGTACCTAAAGTCTGCTGAAAACTCTTCCAAAATCCAGATACAAAGCTCGAATCCCTGTCCGATATAATAGACAATGGAATGCCATGTAGCTTCACAATTTCTGAAATATAAAGCCTCGCCAACTGCTCCGAAGTGTAATCAGTGCAAATAGGCAAGAAATGAGCTGACTTGGTCAACCTATCCACAATGACCCATATGGAATTATGCCCCTTGAAAGAATTTGGCAACCCTTCCACAAAATCCATAGATATGCTCTCCCATTTCCACTCCGAAATTGGTAGTGGCTGTAGAGCTCCTGGCGGCCTCTGATGATCAATCTTAACCATCTGACAAGTACTACATTGAGAAACAAAAAGAGCAATGTCCCTCTTCATACCTGCCCACCAAAACTGCCGCTTCATATCTTGATACATCTTATCGCCTCCTGGATGAATAGAGAACTCAGAGTGATGAGTCTCAGTCATCACATCCTTCCTCAAATTATCAGCAGAAGGTACCACTAACCGTCTTTTGTACCTTAAACCTCCATCAGCCCCAACATAGTAGAATGGAACCTCTCTGGAAGCTATCTCTGCGACCTTGTCGACACACTGCTGATCGGTGAGTTGTGCTTGTAAAACCTTGCGAATGATGGAAGGTGTAACCACCATGCAAGCCATAAAAGCATCCGATAACTCATCCACACTCTTTAAAGCATTCCACTCAGTAGTGAATAGAGCAGAAAAACTACCAACAGGTCGGCGACTGAGTGCATCCGCCACTACATTCGCTTTCCCTGGATGGTACTGTATAGAAAAATGATAGTCTTTTACAAACTCCAACCACCTGCGCTGTCTCATATTTAGCTCCCGCTGAGTGAACAAGTACTGCAGACTCTTGTGATCACTGAATAATCTGAAGGACTCACCCAACAGATAATGCCTCCAAATACGCAAGGCAAAGACCACTGCTGCCAACTCCAAATCATGTGTTGGATAATTAAGCTCATGAGGCTTAAGTTTCCGATATCCATAAGAAATCGGTCGCTCCTCCTGCATCAATACACATCCAAGACCCTGCAACGAAGCATCCGTGTAAACAAGATACTCTATCCTGCTCTGCGGAGTAGCCAGAACAGGTGCAGAAGTTAGCTTCCTTTTCAGCTCATCAAAAGCTTGCTGACAGTGTTCATCTCACACGAACTGTACACCCTTCTTGGTCAGATGAGTGAGTGGTCCTGCTATCTTGGAGAAACCCTGGATGAATCTCCTGTAATATCCTGTCAGACCGAGAAAACTCCGAATCTCAGTAGGTGATGTAGGCTGTCCCCACTCAACCACCGCTGAAACCTTGGCCGGATCCACTGCTATCCCCTTTTCTGACACCATGTGACCCAGAAATTTCACCTCCCGCTGCCAAAATTCACACTTCTCGAACTTGGCATATAACTGGTGCTCACGAAGTGTCTGCAAGATTATGCGAAGATGTCTAGCATGATCGTCCTCCGACCGAGAATAGATCAAGATGTC